TGAATCGAGGACGGAATTTGTCCATTTACATGTGAAAAATATCAGAAAGGAACACTAAAACATAGTCAAAAACTTAGCAACTCAAATGTATTTCTCTAAAAAGCAAAAGAAGCCACTTTGAGACCAGGATTGTTGTTTGCAAGAGAAATATTTAGACTTCATACATTCTCCCTGGTCATGTCCAACTCCTTCCCATCATTCCACTCTCTCCCTAAGATTTTCCTGCCAAACCTCCAACCCGCCGGCCCACTGAACATGACAAACCACGGGAATAGCATTCCTGGAGGCTCGTCTGAAAAACGGCTGGGATAAATCAGAAGGAATAATGAGAACTACTTTCCACAGAGGGCAGGAGGATAAAGAAAAAAAAAGGCCCTTAACGACCGATGCTTTGCGAGGGAAACACAGAAGCTGTGCAGTCAGGCTATTGAACGGCATGCTGTTTGGATGATCTGCTTGCATAGCTTGGTTTTATTCATGCCAAGGCTATACCAGGTCAAGATCAATCAGAAACTAAACATTAGAATAAAACCAGAGGAAATAATCCATAGTGAAGGTCTTCAACTCATATGGGGGAGATAAAAACCAAACTGCAGCACTCAGAGAAGATAATTAATATTTGTGATCATCAATGTTAAACGTCATAGCTACGACGTTTTCATCAAAATGTAAATATTTTCTAATTAAATTATTCATATATATATATATATATATTTATATATATATTTATATATAGCTCCATCTTATATCAGAGATCTGATTGTTCCTTATGTTCCTAACAGAGCACTTCGCTCTCAATCTGCAGGTTTACTAGTGTTTTCTAGAATTCCTAAAAGTAGAATGGGAGGCAGATCTTTTAGTAATCAGGCTCCAATTACCAGTTTTAGTCCGTGAGGCAGACACCCTGTCTACTTTTAAGGCTAGGCTTAAAACTTTCCTTTTTGATAAAGCTTATAGTTAGAGTGGCTCAGGTTATCCTGAGCTATCTCTATAGTTCTGCTGCTATAGGCTTAGACTGCTGGAGGACATAGGGAGCCCTTTCATCATTCTGCTTCATTCTCTCTCTATTCTCCTATTCTGCACAATCTGTTAGTTCAATCTCTAACGTTGTGCTCTCTCTGCTTTTTCTCAGAGTAGCTTTGCCACATCTGTTCCTGTATGGTTGTGACACCATCCTGGAGAGAAACATCAGCTGTGTTGCTTCCATCAACACCCTTGTTTATAGATGCTGGAGATCGGCCTGTTTTCCAGTGTAGTCCTGTTTCTCTTCAGCTGGCTTGGTGCTCGTCGGCCTGGCTGTGTGTTTCCTGGACGGGGCCGCCTTTTACAGCAGCTTTTTGTGTCTCTGCTTCTTTTTCCTTAAACCCCAGTCGGCCTCGGCAGATGGCCGCTCACACTGAGCCTGGTTCTGCTGGAGGTTTCTTCCTGTTAAAAGGGAGTTTTTCTTCTCCACTGTCGCTACAAGCATGCTTAGAGTGAGGGATTGTATTTGAGTCAATGAGTCAATGCAATCAACTGGTTTTCCTTAGATAGAAAAAAAAAAAAAAAAAAAAATATATATATATATATATATATATATATATATATATATATATATATATATACAAATATATACAAAGGCTAGTTCACACTATATGCAAACAGGTAATTAATATAGATGCTGCAAATAAGGGTAGGAGTCCTGCAAACAGTAAATCTACACTGGGTAGAAGCAGAATATTTTTCCAAAGATTTTTAAAGATTTCACCCAAGGCTCATTGGCTAAAATTAAGTTGCAGGTAAAGCAGCAACTCAGGCAAACAGCTAACTGAATAATGGTTGAATTAAGTTACATTGATTCTGAATAAAAAAACATCTTTTTATGATTACAGGTATATGAGAGGACGTGTGTCAGTTTTCTAGAACTATAGGCTGTGTCCAACCATCCGCCCTAATTCATAACCCCTCAATCACTACATAGAGGTGGGACTATATAGTGGACTTTATTATGAACTCAGTCAACTGAAAATCCAGAGATATGTTCACTACTTTTCGCTCCCCGTTTGTCTTGTGACGCTGCCTCCCAGCCCAGTGCATCTTTTTTACCTGTCGCTGCTGTCGCTATCCGACAGTGGAACACTGTCAAATCCCATAATGCTTTGCAAGGAGAGCTCTCACAAAGCATTTTCTGCTTGTCTAGTGACCATGAATGATCACTACTTTTCAAGGTGCATTGTGCGAAACCTCTAATGAAAAAGGTGACGTTTCAAATTGGATTTCTTATTCTATTTATTTAAGATTGTAAAGACTTGGTTAGATGGAGAGTTTTTGCAGTGCATTGGTTTCAAAATGGCAAATTATGGATTTTTTTCCTCCATTTCTAAACCTCTGCTTTGCAGAGCTCATCGCAATTATCAGTGTTTTATGTCCTCTTTGACTATTTCCGTGTCCAGTGTCTGTCACCAACAGAATAAATAAGACTTGGTGATATTCTGATTATTACCCACACTGACATCACAAATGGCCTTGCTTGGTTTTAAAGGTATTTAGATGATTTTTTTTTCTTGGATGCTTTACAGACTCTTGGCTTTTGTTCCTATAGAAATATCTCGGGTTATTGATGGCTTCAGAGGGTGGGGGTGTTGGATGAAATGAATTATGGATGAGCAAATACTAGATCTTTTTTTTTTTTTTTGTCCTTAATCAGTCTACAATGACAAAACCACTAAAAGTTGTTCTGGTTCCCTCCTCTGATTCCCTCCCGCTGCTTGCATTCTGTTTGCTGCATTCTTCCTTGTTTCCACTGCAGATTGGGATAAAATGCGGTGAGGCTCATTGTCGGGACGTAAAAACCGGGAAGCAGAAAGTTTGCACCACATGAATTTATTTCCTCCCTTGCAGAACTTACATTCCTCTATTTTTTATTAGTCCTTCCTCGAGCTAAGTATAGCACTTACACACAACTTTGAAGATTTGTCATATAACCCTCACAAAAAAATAAACACAGTTAAAAAAAAAGTAAACATTTGAAAGTATGAAAAACTACTGAAAGATTTCAAAAAGTATCAGAGTGGCTGAAGAGAGAATACAAAACAATTATAGATGCCTTAAAACCTTTGCAGTCCTACAACCTGGAAGCTCCCCCTATCAGGGGATAAAGTCAATGCAATAAAGTCTCATGCTTAAGGAAGTCCATTTACATTACTTTTAAAATTTAAAGTCATAATAAGAAACTTTCAATTGAAATTATGGCTTACTTTCTGATAATTATGGCTTTAAAAGTCGAAATTATGCTTTTGAAAATTGAATATATGACTTTAAAATGTATAATTTTGACTTTGAAAGTAGAAATTATGAATCATGCTGTGTAATTATTCATTTAAATCTCATAATTATGTGCATGAATTCTTTTAATTATTACTGTAAATCTAATAAATATGACATGCCTTTTTTTTTCAATTTAAAGTCGTAAATGAGCTTCCATATGTCCTTGTTTTCGCAGAGCAAATCTGTATATTTGTAGGAACTATGATATTTGGGATGGGGGGGTTGATTCTGTAGACATCTCCCACCAATGGTTGCTGCAAGTGTATCTTTTTAATCTATAATAAACCATAACTGCTAACATTGCTAATGCTGCATCCATTTCAAAGCACATACAAGTTCTCATTCGTATCCTAGTGAGACACACAAAGGGCCATGAAAACTGCATTAAATAAGCTCTGTTTCATTTTTTTCTCCCAAAACATGATTAAACGTGAATTTAAAGACTATTTGAGAGAGATTGTATATGTAAAATACCAGGTTGTCACTCCTTTATTTGGAAGATTGTTCCCGTAACTTAAAGTAAAAGAACGGCACAGTGTATGTCATAATTATGAGATTTAAAGTTACTATGTTTTACTTCCTATGTTACCATTGCAGAATTTCAAGTCATTGCATCTCATTACATTGACTTCACAAGTCAAAATGATGACATATCTTAAAAGTTGGGGAGTGATGATCTAGTGGTTAGGGTATAGAGCTTGGAATCCTGAGGTTTTTAGTTTGAGCCCCACTCCCACAGACTGCCACTCAGGCTCTCTGAGCAAGATCATTAACCACCGATTACTCCCTGGGTGCCCCAAGATGGCAGCCCAAAGTTACTTTCTCCACTGTGAGATCAATAAAGTTCACTTAATTAAAAATGATGATATACCATATGATTTATTTCAAGTGGTAGGAAAGGGCTTCCATAAAAAAGGAAGAGAAAAACATGCCATACAAATCAATGACCAGATATAAATCATTACATACGATACAAATAAAAAAGGTAAATAAATTAACTAGTGAATTAATATACGATGTCATTGCTAAAATAAAAATAAAGACATGTATATAAATTCTTAAATAACAAATAAAAATCACAAGTTGTATAATTAAATAATCATACATATATGAACAAATATTAATAAACAGAAAAAAATACTTGAATCAACACATAAATAAAACAACAAAGTTAATAAGCTTAAAAATTTTTTGGCCTGAAGCAATGTTTAGGATCAATCAGTTATAAAGATAATAACTAATTTAGTAATTGAATGACAGTGAACTAGAATATACATACTCCTAAACCAGAAAATGAGCTATCCAATTAGCTCAGAGCAGCAATTAAGCCAAAACCGTGTAAAAGAAAGAAACATTCTGCATTTAATATAAACAACCTTCCCTCATGTAAATTATTTTTATATATATGTAAAATATATATAAAATATCATGTAAAATATTTTTAAAACTCCTCAATTTAAATATTATTATTTACAGGTATTACCCATTTATAATGCATTTTAAATTTTCAAACACTTGTTTAATTTAGTGTTTTTGTTTAATAAAAAAAATATTTCATCAAAAAACACTAGATTAAACGATTACTAAAGCAATCTAAAGCTGCAACTCTAAAATGTATCAATTAAATAGATTAAATTCAAAATTATATGTAAAGTATTGTCAATTTTTAATTAGGAAATAAAGACATTTCTTACCTTTACTTCACATTTCTTATGGCAGGACAGCCGACATGCTGAAATAAGAAAGGAGGGGAAATAACAATGAATTTTTTGGGTTGTTTGTAATATCTATATTTAATAAATAAAACTATACCTATGTAATAATCATAATCAATAAAAAAAAAAGTATTCTTTTTTTGTAAAGGACTGAAAATAAATCTTATAGTTTCAGCTATGGGAGTAGAATGATACAGTGCTGCCCTCAAGTGGACAAAGACTCCAATAACACATTTTTTTATTTATTAATATTTTTTCTTCATATTTCTTTAATTTTACATTTAAAGATTATGGTGCATTTTTTTGGTCAACTTTCATGTAAAATCTAAATCTTTCCATGGAGACTAGGAGCTCTGACCTTCACCACCTGAGCAGGAACAGACACCATGTGGGCAAAATGAATGTTTAAGTGGCTCATGGAAATGTTCATGTTGGTCTGATGGGAGTGGATTTAGAGAAACACGTCACTATGTCACATATTTACTCAGTAAATGTGCTAGTGAGGAATTTCCTGTTAATTATTTATAATGTTCATCAATCAGAGAAATGAAATGTTTACCTAAAATAATAATTTGTGATTTTACTGTTTTTCTCTAACATCTTGGATAGGTTTGTGAAAAAAATGTTATGCTTATCCAGCGGAGGAGGAAATAAATGTAATTATCAGATTTAAATGATGGCGATATGGCTCTCATCCAGGGCATCATCCTTAAGGGGGGAATGACACAAACAATAATAATAAAAAAATGATGTTCTGTTTTATATTGTGCGGAAAATTGACAATAAGGTCTATTCTATTCTGTTGTGTTTAGTGATATACACACATGTTAGAGTTAAGATTAATAGTTACTTAATGGTATATTAAATTAAAATGTGCCCCATCTAATTAACTGATAACCTCCACTGTCCACTAGAGGGCACAGTGGTTCATTCCTTATAAGAAAAGCTTTACTGTTATTTGCAAGAGAAGCATTACCAGAGAGGAGGCATGATAAAGTGGAAACATAAATCATTCCATAATCATTTCAGGGATTATTAACAGTCTTTGATGGCAAAAAGGATTCAGATTCTGTTCCGTTTGTAAATATTGAGACTCCGTAAATCCTTAAGTAACACCTAAATAGCGCTCATATAACCACGGGTTTAAACGATAACATCCATCTCGTTAAAAAGAACTAGCAATTAGTTTGGCAGTAGATCAGAGGGACATACCCTGTTTGATAATAGTAGTTTTACATCTTTGTACACTATAAATCAGAAGTGTTTCACATATATATCCTTTTTTTTTTCTAAATATGTCTGGTTTAATCATATGTAAGAAAAGATTTTTATGTTTATTGAGTCAGTATTCAACACAACTTTATATATAAATAAATAGACAGACAGACAGACAGACAGACAGACAGACAGACAGACAGACAGACAGACAGACAGACAGACAGACAGACAGACAGATAATGGATTTAGAAAGGACCACCTGATAGCAGAGAAAAGAGGTTTAAGAAAAAATTTTCCCTTTTATTAATTAAATAGATAAGATCAATAAAGTTTAGATTCATTCAGAAATTTATATCTTGCATCTCTAGTTGTGTTCTAGCTAGAAAACTATTTTAAATAAAATGCCGCTCAACATATAGAAGTTTCACACATTTTATAAAGAAATTAACATTTTCAAAGCAGAAAATAGAAAATATAAAAAAAAAAATGGAAAGTGGAAAATTAAAGTTTGTTATTTTCAAACTCCTTTGGCCATTTTCAAATGTGTAAACGACCCTTCAGCAGGTTTATGAGAGACACTGTGGTACAATCGGCAATAATAAACATAAATTTTCGGAGTTATTTTAAATTATTTCTAAAGAAAGAAAATAACTGGAATTTATTAATTGATGTTTTCACTGTGTTTCATTGGTGAAACCCATGAAAATCCGTACTGTTAATCGGAAGAAGGTGAGGCCATCAACAAAAACAGAGAGAAAACACACATTACATTAGTGTTCTTAATGAAAACAATGTTTACATCCTTACAAATGAAAATTTAGTCTTTTTCCCAGAAATGGGACATAGTTATGGAGTGAATTTTATTCCATTCTTGCTGCAAAAAACACATTTTGCAAATATAAACTTGAGTAAAAAAAGTAATCCTGAAATAGAAAAAACTTTTGAATCAAAAAAGGTTTTGAGAGAAACTGTGCTGTTTTTTCTTTTTCTTTCTAATTTTTTTCTCAGTTTCTTATGTTATTTTTGCTAAACATATTTGCAGAGTATGCATCATTTCTTTTTTTTCTTTTTTTTCAAATTTCTCTTTTCCAGATTGAGTTTTACGAATTGCATGCTTTTCAAAGTGCATTTTACTGATCAATTTCTCTTCACTTCTGGAGGCAGGCTTTCCTTTGACGCTAGGAGAGAAGATGCATTTCGATTAGTCTGCAATGGATGTTAGCAAAACCATTTTTATCGGCCAAGATCTTGCGTTTGTGTTGAGGATGAAGTGAAAAGAATGTGAAACGCAATTTGAAAAGAATGTAATTCATAGGACTCAAAAATAACATCTGAGATAGCAGCAAAGCTTCTCTTTATTCCTTTTATTTAATCTTCTAATTCTGGAAATGCACTTTTTAACTTTCAATTTATAAAACATGTCCTTTGATAACGACAATAATAGACCAATTGATACTGCATAGATAAAAAAGAAAAAATATAAAATGAGAAAGTTTAAATATTATATACTTCTGAAATAAAATTATTTAGAAGTTACTCTCAAAAATGCATTTTGTTTAAACATGTCAAATTTTGCTTTGAATAATGATGGAATAGAAAGGAATGGAATTTAGCAGGTCTTATTCCGAATATGTTAGGATTCTAAATGTTAAAAGAGAAAATCATCATGGTATAGCTGATGTATATCCTGGTATTATGCTGCTTTTATGCTGCCATGCGGCCAGTTCTCACACTGCCTCAAATAAAAGCTGTTTGGTTTGGCAAAGTAAGGATTATTACCTCAAGTTTGGCCAACAAAAGTCTGAAATGACATATCTGCATGTTGTGAGGACCTCCCTATGCCAGATCAGCTGCTATGTTTCCTTTATCGGGTGTCAACAATATACTGGAAACAAATGAAGTTTGTCTTCAAATGGGAAATCTGCAATGCGTCAACCTGCAAGTGTGCTGAGCACATTGTTATATATTTATAGTTGATCTTTTTTGTGTCTTTTCTTTTCTTTTCTTTTTTCCAACGCTCCGTTATGACGGATCCTTTCTGCCCCGGCTCCATCCTCAGTGATTAGTCAGACTTTAGGAAGTAGTCTCTGTTAGGTTTTAGCTTGTTTTCCTCCAAACAGAAAGGTGTTTGAATAAAAAACGAAGATGAAAGAGAACATAATTCTTCCATGCCCTCTTTTTCTTTCCCTCACAAAGGTCTCACTCCTTATTTCCACACCCCCCCTTCTAATTTTCTTGCTCTTTTGCCTCCCTCTGCCCCACACTGCGCTCCTCACCCCCTTTTTCCCTCTCTTTTGCCTCTTATCTAGGCTAATGCAGCAGCAGCAGCCATGCTAATTTTAAACACCAAATCCTCAGCCAAAGCCCTTTGCAAGCCCCATCCTCTTTCTCCTTTCTCTTCACTCTTCATCTCAGCGTCGGCTAAGGCTGCTGTCTTTTAGAACGATGTTAAAGTGAAAGAGGGATTGACTTAAGTTGTGCAAAAAGTGACGCCAGGTGAAAATAAGGAGGGGAAATAAATGACTATTTGTTAGTAAATATGAAAAGTAAAGCATATTTAGTGCATGATTTTCTAGTTTGCTGCCACCTTCTGTCAATCATTTTAGGAAATGTGTCAGAACGTAAAACTTGATCTATATTCGCCACACTGAACAAGGAACGGGGTTTGCGCGTGGCAAAAGTGACACGATCATGCAATCCCCGCCCCCGAGCTTGGAAGCTTGGAGAGCGCACGCAGCCTCAACGCGAGGTTGTGCATCTTAAATTTTTTGTAGGGCCGAGCATACACTGTACGACATTTTCAGGCCCCGTCCACACGAAGTCAAAACGAACACGAAACGCTAATATTTTCCAGAACGTTTGTCGTAAAGACGGAGACATAAAAAAAATGTGATCGACCACACGAATGCATGAAAACGCTGCAAAATGTATGCCAGGCCTATAAGTGGCGCTGTGGTGTCAAAGCAAAAATAGGCGAAAACAAGCAACGAAATGTTGGGCATGCGCAGTAATATTTATACAACAACCAAACCGGAAAACCGGAAAATGGCCCTGCGGGTCCATTTTCGTGGTTCAGTCAAATTCAGGTGCTGAACTATGTCGTCGATATCGCTCTGTTCTTCCTGGAGATATTCCAGAAGAAGAAGATTCTGTTGTAAGCCCGACAGCAGGGTGAGTAGCATGAGCAGCCACCATTCAACACAGTACAGCGCCATTGTTGTTGTGATACTGTGTCGCGCATGCGTGTTTAGAGGCGACGCTATGACGCATGCGTGTGAAAAAAAAAATGCGTTCAGACCCTAAAGATGTAAACGCGAAAACGGCGTTTCAAAATCTTCCCATTCTGAAGGCTTGATAAAAAAAAAGATCGTTTACAGACCCCGAAACGCCGGCTTCGTATGGATGAGAGGCTGGTTTGGTGAAAAATTAGTGAATTTAGGCCAGGGTTTGACTTCGTGTGGACGGGGCCTCAATTGGTGCATTCAGCTACAGCTCAAACTGTACTGTACTGTACGTTGAAGCGGCAGGGGTTAAAAGTTCACAGCTCAAGATGTTTGTTCTTACACTTTATAACCCAACGCTCTGATGCGATCAAATTGCTCACACTGTATGTTCAAAAAACACACCTCGGACTCACCAACGAGAGACGGCGCTGGTCGGACACATCAATCTAGAAGAAGAAGAAAAAGAACTCCCATGTTTGCAGATGCAAAAGCGCGAGTTTCTGGTAAATTGGCTCCTAAACACGAACACCTCAAGAACTCAATTTCAAACATTTTTGATTTTCTCCCAACCTTACAAGTTCTGATCGTGAGGTGATGGTGAGAGGCTTATCAAAACCTTGTTACAACCTCTATACTACAGGATGCAGGACGCACGATGAGGCTGAATCCATGAGGCCTGATCCAAAAAATTATCACGCGATTGGAGAATCGGACTGAAAAGAACTTAACTTGCTTAACTTGAGCTGCATGCGGCAGCCTCATTCCAGTTGGGAGGATATAAAGGTATCCTCCACAAACAACTTTTCCTCTACTGCCATCAAATGGTGCAGAAGGTTCCAGTGGGACAGTGTGGTTTAATGCAGTGTTGTTACTGGTTATTCAGTGACTGAGAACGGCATCCAGGGAGGAGTTTATTGGACAGGCTTCTGGTACAAAAAAGGATTTTAGTTTCTATTTCCACCACATACAACATAAAGTCTGAAAGAACTATACATAGTATAAAATCCCTACAGCATTTATATAGTGAAAAAACTTTTTTTTTATATGTTAATTAACAAACAAAAAGGTCTGTATGGGCGTCACGGGAGGCTTGTTTCCACATTTCCAAGTCTCTGTCCGCAGCAGCTAAACCTACTGTTTTATCCCATCGCATATTCCTGTGCAGCTGCCATAAATACATGTACTATTCTTCAATAAACGTAAATCTTAATTAAACAATACCTCGCTCTACCATTTTGGAGGTGCTATTTCTTCTCCTCTTTCTTTCTCCATTTCTGCTTGTTATGTTGATCACTACCCTTTTGTGCTTTTTGTGAGCACTACTGCAACTACATGCAAAAATCCAAATCTAGATAAGTAATTTTTTCTTAAAATAAGTGCATTTGTTCTTGGATTGAGGAGGTAAAGGAGACATTTTGCCAATGGAACAAGACAATTTAGACTTAAAATTAGAAAACACAATTTCATTGTCTTATTTCAAGTGCATATTATCTAAATATCTTATTTTAAGAGTAAAATTGCTCATTCCGTTGGCAAACCATCTCATTTACCTGCTCAAATTAAGGGTAAATACACTTAATTTAAGACGTTTTTTACTCATTTTAAGACATGTTTTACTAATTTTTAGATCGTTTTTGCAGTGTAACATGTACAGCCCTTCTATGGGCTCACTCACAGTGCGCACAGACTGGTGCTACAACCCAACATGGAAGTATATCTTAGAAGACATAGAAGTGGGCATAAGCAACATGAAATTTGAGAAAAGCTTTTTCTTTTGTCACTCAATGTGACCTAAACAACTGAAAACAATTACACCCAATAAAGCAAAAGTAATAGCTGTCCTATACTGCAGTCGGCATCGGCTAGTTGTTAAGGGAAGCTACCAAACACCACAAAAAGACACTGAAGGAGCTTTGTAAAACAAATGCTGGTTGGGATCTATATCTAAAAAAAGTTTTGCTACTAGAGAACAGTTTATCGTTTCAATGTAAACATACTGCAAGTCATGGCAGTTAAAGCTTCATAGACAGATGTTACTGAGGTTTTTGTCCACATAGAAAGATTAATGAATCCTTTTTGGACCCTAATCCATCTGTGATTCATTATATTAATGCTTCAGAGGGTTTTATCATAAAAGTTTATACCTGTCATATTGGGACTGACAGATACTCACCTTTGCAGATGAGACCTTCCTTGGTGATGGCCTGCTTGCAAATGTCACAACTTTTCGCCTTCTTAAACGGCTTCAGCTTGAAGGTGTGTGTGTGGACCCCCTCCAGCTCATCAGGCTGCAGTGAAACACAAAATATATATAAGATTTCTAAGATTTCAATAAAACAAATCAGTAATTGTAAGCATAGTTCATTGGGATTGATGGTCTTTGATGGTGCTGGATTCCAGTGAATCAGAAGACTTCTATCCTAAATGTACTGTTAGATCATCCGAAACAGGGATCCTATACTTCATTCAATCACAGTTTGGTAAAATAGAAAAGAAAAAAGTTATGAAGAAATTTGGGATTGCAGAAAAATTGTGAAAAGTGTATTTATAGCAAAAACACTTTCTGAGCAAGAAACTTCAAATTTAAGATCTTTAAAACACACATTGAGTGGTTTAGAAACTGCAAATAATTCTTGATCAGATCAAAAACCTGGGAAACCAGTAAGATTGTGGTAAAAATTTACTGAGCTTGTTTGGAACAGCAATTGGGAGGAAGGATCTGTGAAAGCACTTCTTTGTGCATCTAGGATGCTACAATCCCTTAATGAGATCTCCGACTCTGCAACAGTTCTATGCATTACGAGTCCAAAGATGCTGTTATTTCTCTTCTAGTCAACCGGCCTGTTTCTGACAGAGATGGCCTTCCTTTTAAGCTAATCCAACTGCTATTTCTCACTTGCAGATAAGCATTTTACACCACAAAAGATGGCTGATGTCACCACATAGTCAAAGACAGATATTGACCCTATCTGTAAAGAGCTTAGATGTTTCCATAGAGAAGAATGCAGCAGCTAAAGAATTTGATAGGAGTGTTTAAAAAGTCTAAAAAGTATTTTAAATGCTTAGGAAGTGAAGTACAGACAAAGCAACTGCCAGTCTGGTCATGTCTGAAAGAAGACTGCAAGATGTCAAAATACGACAGCAAAACCGTAAAGTCCCATCACAGATCCCACTGCGGACTGAACTGACTGTACAAATCTGAAAAGGGCTGCAAGTGTGTAACTTTGACGGAACATATGAAAGACCAGCATTAAAATTTAGTTCTGATGACTAACAAGTGGGAATTACACATTTGACGTAAATAAAAACGCACACACACATCATTAAAAGGTAAAGTGGAGGATGTTCTTTTTTCGGGTGGATAATCAAAATTAGTGGTCCTTCTAATTGTCAATCAATCTGGTGATACTGTGTGTGTACCATCCTACGTGCTCGTCTCCATTTTTGCAAATTGTTTGCAGAAATTGCAAATCTTCTTTTGGAAAGTAAGCTTGTAAGAATATTGCAGACAGCAACATTAAAAAAAAAAAAGTGTGAAAGAGGAGAAATGGGCTCATGCATGCCCTTGCACATATTTAATAGGCGTGCCCTCTGGGGAGTGGGTACAGGGTTGTGCATGTGCTTTTTTTTTTACAGTGCAGAGGGAGGGTCTTTTCAAAAATTCGTGTGAATCCTCCAACTATAACTCTAACAAAAAGAACCTCATGGAGGAGCTGTGAGGCTGAGCAACTGGCTAGCTCACTATCATCAAGTCCCCCATCATTTTATAATGTCTCAGAGGTCATTAAGGAAAATGTGAGACTAGATATAAGTCAAGATTACTTAAATTAAGTGAATTTACCCTTAATTTCAGTAGGTAAGTAAGAGGATTTGCCAATGAAATAAGTATTTTTACTCTTAAAATAAGACAATTAGATAAAATGCACTTGAAATAAGACATTGCAATTGTTTTTTTTTATTTAAATCAAAATTGCCTTGTTCCATTGGCAAAGTGTCTCACTTACCTCCTCAATCCAAGAAAAAATGCACCTATTTTAAGAAAAAATGACTTATTAAGATTTAAATTTTTTGCAGTGCTGGATTTGTTAATGTAACTCAACAACGTAAATAAAGTTTAGATTTATCTTTGCTTCTTGATACGTTTGACATCACTTCATCCATGAGAGTACAAATTTAAGTTACAAATTCAAAACAAAACATTAATCAATTAAAAATGTATGAATAAGAGTCACATATTTACAAGAATGACTCACAAAAGTGCATTTACAAATCACAAATTTACATGTAAAAAAGAAAAAAATGCCACTAACAATTACAAATATACGAATTTGTATAGCAAATGTACAATCACAAACTGACAACCCCTGATGTAGCAGTTACACTGGAAAAACAATCCAGAAATAAGTAAATATTTCTCAAATTAAGTGCATTTACCTTTAATTTGAGCAGGTAAATTAGATGATTTGCCAACGGAATGAGTATTTTTACTCTTAAAATGAGATATCTAGATAAAATGCACTTTAAATAAGACAACACAATTGTGTTTTCTTATTTTAAGTGTGAATTGTCTTGTTCCATTGGCAAAATGTCTCTTTTACCTCTTCAATTCAAGAACAAATGCATCTATTTCAAGAAAAAATGAATTATCTAGATTTAGATTTTTTTCCAGTGTAGACTCCTTACCAGGTCGTAGACTCCTTACCTCCGCCGCGGAAGGAGACATGGCTGTTGTTGGGCTCGCTGTCTGAATGACGGCGCGCACTGATACGAACAGAGAGAAAATAGGACCAATTGATAACGACGTGTGACTTTTTCAACTACAATGTTTTTGGGATGCGAAAATATCACTCTTTTGGACACATAATGTTTTGGGAAGAGAAACGTTTTATTTCGCTGTACCTAAAAACCTGCAGGACTACTTTCGGCTTGACCAAAACTGGACGATAACTCTGCTCACAGGACGCTGCCAGGGGTAAGTCAGTGTGATTGCATGCCGCTGGTGATCGGGATGCCATACAGATTCATGTCAAAAATACCGAACTATCCCTTTAAATGAAGGAAGGATTCCCTCCATAGCTAACCCAGGTTAACTTGATGAGTCATCCCTGACTCTGTTAAACGTCACTTTCCTTGGAAAAAAGAAAAAAGAACTGAGGCTTTACTCCAGTTTTTCTTTTACCAGCTTTATGGGAGCTGGTACGTTGGAAATGAAGCAAGCAGAAGGTGTTTCTTGCTCAGCCCTCTTTTCCCCACAACAGACCAGCTGTACTAAACTTCCTCCGGCCTTCGAATGCACACAGAAATCCTGTCCATAATTGTAATGGATAAAATAGTAACAGCTTTAGTGTGACATGCATGGGAAAAGGTCTGACTTAATGTTGGCAAAGTGGACTAAACTCTTGCTCCACTTTACTTTTTTATACATGTAATGTATACATTATAAATGTATTTTTTACATTTCTATTTTTTCAGATTGAGTTTTAAAACATTACAACATTTAACATTCTCAGTTTGGCTCCAGTGGATTTATAACATATGATGCAAAACAAGTTCAAACATTTGCATTAAAATTTTAAATTCCATTCAATTCAGTTTATTTATATAGCACCAAATTCACAACACATGTCATCTCAAGGCACTTTACAGTTCAACCAGATCATACAGTCAAATTGATACAAAGTTTTCTATCTAAGGAAAAACAGTAGATTGCATTGACTCAAATACAATCCCTCACGCTAAGCATGCTTGTAGCGACAGTGGAGAGGAAAAACTCCCTTTTAACAGGAAGAAACCTCCAGCAGAACCAGGCTCAGTGTGAGCGGCCATCTGCCGAGGCCGACTGGGGTTCAAGGAGACAGAAGCAGAGACACAAAAAGCAGCTGTAAAAGGGGGCCCTGTCCAGGAAACACACAGCCAGGCAGATGAGCTCCGAGCCAGCTCCCATGCCAGAGGACGAAGAGAGCACATCCACTCAGTCACGGTCAGAGAAACAGGACTGCACTGGAAAACAGGCCGATCTCCAGCATCTATAAACAAGGGTGTTGATGGAAGCAGCACAGCTGATATATTTTTTGTTATTATGAATATATAGTAGGAAAAAAGCTACAATTACGATTGAAAATAAAATGCACAAATAGTTTAGCAACAATAGTTTTGGATCAGTTGGAGCAAAGCTGAGAATGTATTGTATATTTTTGACTTTTCCACAAAACACAGTTAGTGTACTTTGTACTCAACAATTTGAAAAGTGTACTTTTTATTCGAATTGTAATACTTAAAAGTCATCTGAAATACCTTAACCTTTTATATTTCTCTCTAATAGTTTTAATTCAATTACAGTTCACAAAATTACCTTCATATAAACCACGACTACTGCCATTATAGCTAAACCACCTTAACTTTGCTCCCTGATAAAAGTTAAGTAACCCATGGCGCCATCATCCTTAAGCACATTTTTGGAATCCCTATTTCAACATTTTTTTTTTATTGCTCTCCATGTCCCACATCTAATTTGGCTCAGAGCTTTTTCAGAAGAGTACTTCTCATCTTTTTTTACTTATCTGCCTACATCTTAATGGGTTTTGTCACACTGTGACACTCTCACCAAAAGCTCCACGGAGGAATCAAAGCTGACCTTGGCTACAAAGAGCTGAACAAAGTACATTATAGGACGAAGTAACTTCAAAGTATGGCAGAAAAATACATCTTTCTTGTTAGTGATACAGATCAGTTTCTAGCCATGGAGCAAAAGTTTGGTTTAAGCAGTGGCCTAATGCTCAAACTTCATCTAAACCCTCTGATTAAATCGAAGCTTGTAGTAAAAGTTGATACTTGTCCTTTGTGATGAGTAGTGTGAAAATCTGAAAATTAACCTAAAAGAAACAGTGCAAGGTGGGATTACATCTGGTGTCTTTAAAGACATGTTTAACTGTGCCTTAAATTGGTTTGTGATCAACATTTTCTTTCCAACATCCAACATCTAAGCAGAAGGTAATTTGAAAGTCAAGTTTTATTCTCCTTTTTAAAGGCACACTATGCAACATTTTTCAGTTAATTAATGTGTTCCATAATGTTTTGGATGATTAAATGAGTCATTTCAGGTTGAACAAAGGTATTCTCGGCCGCCCTGGTGGTCTGTGGGGAAAATACCGCAATTGTAGGAGCACCGACCTGCACCTACAGGCTCAGAAGTCTCACGAGAGTCGGTCTTGCTTTACAGCGAGAACTGCTACACCCCCCAGTTAAAAGCATGCTCGTTGCTAGCACAGTGGCGATCTTTGTGCGGTGC